AAAAACACACATATAAGAGTGCACATGCCTATGAAAGCCAGAGAAGAGCTGGAGTTCCAGGTCCCTGAGCGCCCTGACTTCAGTGCTGGGAACTGAACCCTCGTCCCCTCAAAGGCAGTGAATACTCTTAGCTACTGAACCAAGCCTGCTCTTGGTTTGTAATTTGCTGTGGGGGTCGTTAACACAGTTGGCTCCCATGCTTTCTTACTGACCTTACATCTGAGTTCCACGCTTCATTACTCTCACAGGTCCTTCCACGGACACTGGCGTTCACACCTTTCATTTTTCCTCCCTACATCCAGTGTGGTCCATAATTTCCAACATCCACCACCACTTTGCAGGTCTTTCTCTCACAGCTTTCTCTACCCATTGAAGACTGTTTGCCTGAAGTGCAGAACATTTATGAAGTAAGGGACTCAACAGTCCCTCCACTAGGACTAGTGGGAGTTTATAAATATACACTGCCTGCCACAGGCTTTCTGTTTGAGTGGGATACCTGAGGATGGGGTTTCATTCTTGTCTCCAGGGTTTGCAGGAATGAAGAATCTCAGCCTTTGTCTCCCTCTCCTTACTGGTGCCATGTGTTGTATTAGGGCCCCCAAAGAAAGCACATTGCAATTCTAACCTGCAGCGCCAAGAAGTATATTCCTTGAAAGTACAGCCTTTGTAGACTAATCAAGATAAATGAGACTCCTAGAGCGGGTTTTAATCCGTAAGGACTTTTAAAATGGGGATAAATTTAGCCACAGAGGCAATGCGTACAGAGAGAGGTGGTGTGAAGGCACACAGGGAGAGCATCTTGTGGAGGCAGAGCTACATCTCCAAGGCAAGAGGCAGGTGGGAGCCACAGAAGCTAAAAAAGCAATGTGCAAGCGTCTCCCTGGAGCCTCCAGTGGAACATGATGCTGCTGATGCCTTCGTTCCTGACTCCCAGCCTGCAGGACAGTGAAGCAATGATTTACTATTGCCTTAGGGCACATAATCTTTGGTAATACTTTAAGGTTACCTCTCCCCCCATTTAAAAGACGTATTTTCTTGTTACCTTTCACAGTTCCTTTGCCTTTCCAATAAACTAATTGTACCTGATCTACTTTAATTTTTATTTCTCCTTATTTTCTTCTTTTCTTTTTCTTCTGTAATAGGATCTGTCTCTGTAGTTCAAGCTTGCCTTGACCTTGCAATTCTTCTGCTCCCACTAAATTTACACTAAGAGTACCACTCACCATGCCTGAATGTGCTTGAATGTTTTCGATTACTATATGATGAAAATACATTTTCCCAATAGAGTTTGATGGCCTTTTATAGAAATAATCAGCGCCCTGCTGTTTATTCTTTTACTTTATGTGTTGTCTGCATGTATGTCTGCACATCACATGCATGCCAGGTGCCCAAAGAGGTCATGAGAGAATATCAGATCCCCTGAGACTAGAGTATAAGCTAGTTGGAAGTGACCGTGTGAGTTCTCATATTAATTTCTGGATCCTTGGAAAAGCAGCCTTAACTGCTGAGCCATCTCTCTAGCCTTGTTTGTTTTTTTTTTTAATTCTTCTGTTAACTAGTCTAATATTCTCTGTGGATTTGGGAAAAATGGGGTGGGAGGAAAAGGAGGAAGTAATAAAAATAATAAGGCAAAAACTGCAAGGATACATGTAGTCGTCACACGTAAACAGGTAAATGAAAAACAAATTTAGATTAAACAGAGAATCTGATACATGGGAAAGTTCAATTTACTGTTGTGCTATGGGATCAGAATCACCTCACTGTTTAATTTAGTTTTTTTTTAATAAAATAAGGAACATTATTAAGATATGGACAGAACAAATCAAGATAAACCTTTTTGCATAATATTAAATGGTTTAAGAGCATAATGTTAAGTATTCCTCGTTGTAAGCAGCAAGCCCATGCAATAGTCTGTTCCTCAACAGACTATTTATTTAAAGCAGGGTATCAGAGTGCTACTCCTACCCTGAGCAAAGCTCATGGACAAGCCACAGGACAGCTTCTGCCAACATCACTCTACTCAATAACTGTATTCGTGCACATTTTAATGAATGTAAGAATGCAATTGTTTTTGCCTTTCAAAAAAAAAGATTCCCTCAAGGGTAAAAATGAAGATGTTACTGTGTTGTAAATCTCTTTGAAAATTACTGGTAATACATTAAAATTTTAAAAGAGAAAAACAGTTTGACTTGAAGTTGATCAATGTATGCACTGAGGCCCTTTGGCGACTCTTTGTTCTGCAGTTGGCTACTCTGTCTGAAATATTGAAACTTATTTACAGAAAAATGAGAGCGGTACATCCGGGAGCGCAGAGCTGTTCTTGTATTTCACCTGCCGCCAACTTGGTTACATCCAGACACAAGTCTGAGAAGAAAGGGAAGCAAAGCCAGAAGCGGGTCAGTGCCAGAGCTGCCTGTGTTACTCAGGGCACCTGAGTTACTGCTGTTACTCAGGAAGGAGAGTAGTAGCAGCCTCCTAGAGAACACAAGTCACCAGCACACACTGGAAAACCGATCTCATAGTACTGGGCATCAAAGGGTAGGCATTGTGTATGCTCAGCAACTGTTCCACCAGGGATCTACACCCACCCGAAGGCCAGGCATTAAATGTAGTATTTGCTAAATAAAAGTACATATTTAGTAAGAATGAGTAGTGACCATAGTAGGAACTGTAACTAAAATTTTCTGGTAGACTTCTGTGACCTGCAAATTTCCAGTTAAGCCTCACTAATAACCCCCCCCCCCTTTTTTTTCCAAACAAGGTTTCTCTGTAGGTTTGGATCCTGTTCTGGAACTAGCTCTTGTAGACCAGGCTGGCCTCAAGATCACAGGGATCTGCCTGCTTGTGCCTCCTGAGTGTTGGGATTAAAGGGGTGTGCCACCACCTCCCGGCCACATTTATTTTTTATAATATTACATTGTAGTTTAATAACAAAAAAGAAAAACAATTTTGTTTTGCTTTGTTTTATTTTTTTCGGGACAGGATTTCTGTGTTGCTTCGGTGCCTGTCCTGGAACTCGCTCTGTAGACCAGGCTGGCCTTGAACTCATAGAGATACACCTGTCTCTGCCTCCTGAATGTTGAGATTAAAGGCATGTACTACCACTACCTGGCTGGACAACAACTGTTGTTTAAGTTTGTACATGGTACCTTTAAGATACTGATAAAAATAAAACACAGGTATCCCAGATTTCATTGTGGAGTGTTTCATTTGGTTTTTGATCTTTTTTTTTTTCAATTTTAAGCACTAAGACCTCCTAAGAACTAAACTAAAAACAAGAAGAATAATGATTAAATGGGAGGTCAAATATTAGATTATACAAAATGCTCTAGGATTCTACATAATTATGCACTTTCCAAGATCCAGATTTCAAATAAATCTGCCATGTGCTTAACTAAAATAAAATAAATATACAAATACCAACATCTGTATATCCCAGAAGATGTTCATTACATCATGTATTTTAGAACAAGGAAGAAAAATTTATCATTCAATAAAGAATTACTTACTGGCTAATAGATCTATGAAATTGTGTCAAGAATATTGGGGATTCACAGTAAACCACTCTCAGATATCCTGGAGGTAGAATAATCTTTGCTCGCATGCTGTTTCAACATAACACAATACATATTTGGAAATTTGAAAATTGGAGTTTTTCAGAAGAGAAAAGAATTATTCATCACTCATTACTAACTTTGCCATTCAGAGAAGATAAAATTGACAAACACATCAAACTTAAAAAGGAGGGAACGGTATCTACACATGAACACAGCAGGAATTTGAGGGGGAAAAAAACAGAAAGCAAAGATCTGTAAAAGCACACAGCAATTCACTACAAAGCAAACGCACTTGTCTAAAATAGTGGTACCCAAAAGGGCAGAACTAAAGTGAAGCACAACCCAGGTAGCAGCCAGCATGAGGACGCCATAAAGCCCAGGTCAAGGCCTTAGAGGCACCGGGGAAGGCTCAGGGATGCTGGGTACCGAAAACCTCCACACTTCCAGGCACAGATTAAATTTGGCAGTAGAGTATAAGTTGCACTGAGTGGCCTCTAGACTATGAACCACAAACTCAGGGCCCAGAAAACTGCAAAATGGAGTCTTGTTGGAGGCTAAAAAGCAAAGAAATGTGTTGTAGTAGCTCATCAAATGTTGGGTCCCAAATTATAGGCACACGTTTACCAAAAGAATCATCTTATCGACGGCCTCACTGAGCAGGCTGCATGGTTTCAACAAGATCGTCATTAATAATACTGGAGAATTCTGGAGACAAATTAATAAAAGCTATGAACTGGACAGTGACATTATTCTATGTTTATCTATTTTCCTCTTGCTAAATCAATGTTAGCTTTTAATATATTTTATTTAACAATTCTGAACCAATATGATTCAGAAATGTTTTAAATACACAGTAGAAACATGCCACACTTGAACAGAATTAAGAAAATACATATAAATTCTGTATGAAAAGCAACTAATGGAACCATGTCACAGGTATGTGCCAGGTATATACCACACAGCTGCCCCCAGAGGTATCCATACACTTAAAATAAGAACTATTAAGTTAAGAAAACTGTGTGGGTAGGAAGCCCATTCAGAATTAGGATTCCTTTTGCCATCACCATTATCATACTTAAATGGGTAATAAAATTAATAGCTCAATTTTAATCCTTTAAACTCTCCGGAGGCTGTTCCCCTCCTCTAGTCAGTTTTAATTATGTAAATATCTCAGGTCACATGACAGAGATAGGGAGGGTAAACAGAGCTGCTTTAATAAGCATTTTCTGGTCAAAGTGTGATGTTTCAATATAGTCTATGAAACAAAACAGTCTTCAGGAATTTCTGTTTTAGTAATCACTGTGTATTTACAAGACTGAGGAGGCTTTTGGACGACACAGGACACACGGGACTCCTCTGAATGGACCCATATCATTCAGGAGGCCTTTTGCAGGCACAAACAGAACTTTAAAAGCAGACCAAAGCAGGAAGGAGAGGAAATACCAGTTTCTTTCTGGGCCTCCCTCTTCGCTGCTTGGCTTTCGGGGAACACAGACACATCTGAAAATGTTCCTGCAAGGCAAGGGAGAAGAAGACAGACTCAGTCAGCTGGAGATAACCAGGGGCTCAGCAAGCTGCCAAATCTGAGCAGGGCTTTAAGGTGGCTCAACTCTGTTCAGCAACACAGGTAAGCAAGACACTTGTCACCTTCTGCATTTCCCATCTGTAATCTCTGAGTTCCATGTGGAATTTTATTTAAATAATTAAGGTAAGGACCTACTCTGAGAAGATCATTGTAACAGCCAGGCTTTGCCGAATCTTTCTTAGGCCAGTCTGGGGATTCCAAAAGTGAGGAGCATGATATTTCCAAAGAGGAAGTAATGGAGAAAAAGACCAGTTTCAGGAATCGTGCTCTGAAACCTTTCTGTATAAATTCTATAAGATCACAGATTAATTGTACTTTTGGTTTCTTATTTATTTATTTATTTTCAAGAAAGTTACTCATTATGAAGCCCAGACTGGGTTAGAACTAACTATATATCCCCAAACTGGCCTCAGGTTTATGGTAATCCTCCTGCTTCGGCCTCCTAAATACTAGGATTATAGGTGAGTCTCCACGAGCAGCTTGGCAGTTGCTTGTTTATTTTTTTAGAGAACCAGGCAGTTTCCCTATAACTTAATATTCAGTATCACAGGAATCCAGAAAGCATCCACGAGAAACGCGTATTTTCTTCAGTGCAGGGCAAGTGCAGTCAATTCCACACAGGCTGTGAAGATGCAAGTTTGGACTTCTACAGTAGGATCAGTCACCCTTGAGACTGTCACCTGCCAAGACTAACTACTCCTACCGGTGCTCTAGCTCCTAAATTGTAAAAAATTGACTCTGCTACTTTTGGTTTTTTCGTTACTGCTAGTTTTTCTTTTTTAAATAGATACCCATTTGCCCAATAAATTATGTAACCTTGGAACCTTTGATCTTTACTAGATAGGTTATCTCTGTAGTAGTTAAATACAGATCAAAGAATCTGAATTTACTGATCATAGAACCTGCAAAAGATTTCTTGACTCTATATTTACAGTAAAAAATAAAAGCAAAAAAAATATAAATAAATAAAGCAAAATACTTAACATTCACACGAACTAGAGTCCCAAGCCCTCCGAATTTTTCAATTCTCACATTTCCCCTCTAAAATGTGAGGGTTGCATTTAATACTCATTGAAACAGTTTTTATTCATTATTTCTTAACTCCATTTACAGAACGTAGTAAATGTATTCACATTTATATGTACTGCCACCCACTATGACATTCAACTACACCTTTTTGTAGGTCTTAAACATTTCCTGATCAGAAGAGTGAGGGGTTAGAGAGAGCAACAGGACATGAAAACTGCCAAAACTCTTCTAAATATTTGTATGAAATCAAGACTTATAATGAAAAAGAGAAACTAAATTATTTTTCAAATGATAAATTTGATAGGAAAATATTTTATGTGGATGGGTTAAAATTTATTATAAAATACTAAAATAAACACTAAAATAAATAATACTAAATAAATAATAAATTATACAAAATACTTAATAAATAGCTGGATGGAGGTCTTGGCAGATGAAAGCACTGGCCACTTAAACCTGACCAGGCTGGATCCCTGGAAGCAAGACGATGTGGTCCTCACCTGTAATTCCGGCACTCCTGAGGTGAAGTAGGATGTGCTGTCAGGAGTATCTCTAACAAGAAGAGCGTGGTTTAGCTAGTATGAACTAGGATGCCATATTGCAACAGAAACAGTAAGAGGAATACTGTCTCAACAAGGTGGAAGGCAAATCCAATTTCCAAATTCAAACATGCAACTATAACACACAGACACACACACGCACGCACACACACATACAAACACACAGATGAAATGACCCCATTTGAAAGCATTAAGTGCATTTATCCCATAATACCATAATGCTTAATTAATGGTCAACTTGCTTAGTACAGAATCACCTGGGCAAAGAGTTTCAATGAAGAATCTGTCTAAGACAGGTGGGGAGGCCTGAGGGTGTTCATCTTGATTACATTGATTGATGGATGAGGGACGTCTCAGCCTAGAATGAGTAATGCCATTTCATGGACTGGATGGGCCCTGGACCTAATGAGGAGTTAGCTGAGTCCTGGCAAGCATGTACCTGTTGCTTTCTTCTGCCTGAAGATGTAATATAGCTCTCTACCTCCTCTGGCTTTGTCTTCCTGGAAGTGAGGACAGTAACTTGGAATTCTGAGCTACGATAAACTTCTTCTCCCCTAAGGTGCCTTCACGGGGAGTTTTTGTCACAGCACCCAGAAGGAACTGACTCCATGTCTTTACCAGCAAAACCAAGCCACCCTGAGAGACTCCAAAACACTCTGAATAATGTCAAGGTCGTATTGCTCATTGTAATCTTCATTCTTGCCTAGCTTGACTTGTTAAGAAAGAATTCAAATCTGTGTCTATGAAATTCTATGGAAACTGATTTTGGGAGTCATTCATGAAAAGTAATAGTTCTCCACAACAATCAAGGACCTATTAATCAGGTTTTCTTTTACTCCTCTCTCCTCCCTGCTACACATGTACTTTTTTTTTTTTTTTTCGAGACAGGGTTTCTCTGTAGCTTTTGGTTCCTGTCCTGGAACTAGCTCTTGTAGACCAGGCTGGCCTCGAACTCACAGAGATCCGCCTGCCTCTGCCTCCCGAGTGCTGGGATTAAAGGCGTGCGCCACCACCGCCCGGCCTACCCATGTACTTTTATCTTGCTCCCTCACTTCTTCCCTCCCTCCATCCCTTCTGTCCTCCCTCCTTTTCTTCCTTTCTTTCCTTATTAACTCAGTCTCACTATACCCTAGGCTATAGCATTGCCTTTTGCCGAACATTTACTATCCATTTTCCTGCACCAACCCCCCAAATCCTGGGATTAAAATATCAAAGCCACTATGCCTGGTGGATGTTTCTTTGTGGGTTTGAATTTTGGTTGAGAATTACAGGCATACAAAAGCAAACTAAACTGATCGTGCAGATATACCCTCTAGATTTTCATACTGGAGACAATTGCGGCACAAAGATGTCTGTATAAACTACAATAGATACATGTGCTCATCCCCAATGAAGAGGAAGACCTAATACCATTGTCACCAGATAAATAGACAGTAAAAAGTATTGACAGGCTGTATTCCAGTGGTTGGGAAGAAAATGAATGTTTCACAGCAGAGCACTTTGAAAATGTCAGGTTCCCTTGGGCCTCCTAAGAAGCTGCTATCAAAGTCCCATGAGAAAACCGTTCTCTTCCCCCACCCACAGAGTGAGCTGAAGGGTGGCCATTGTGGGAGAGAGAACCAAGGAAGAATCCCCAAAGCAGGCAGCCGTTCTCTGGATGCCTCAAGAAGATTCTTCTCTTTCCTACCCTGGGGCTCAGCACCTGAGAGCCAGCACAATATGGAAGTAGCTAAGAGTATGTGAGCAGACGGTGAATCAATCATAAAGCCCACACTCTAGACAGAGGGTCTAGGCCATTGTGTCCTACACTAGGGAGACTGGGCAACAACAAAAAGCCAAAGAAGCTGGAGCCAAATGTTACACTAAACATTGAAGGATACATACAGGTTGAACATTAGTCTTCTCTCTCTCTTTTAACTGCTTCATTTTGAGATTATAACTATATTTTCCCTTTCTTTTCTTCCTCCAAACCCTTGCACATGCCCCTCCTCCCTGCTCTGATTCAAATGCATTGTCTCTTTTTCCACTAATTGTTATTACATGCATGTATGTATATTTATGTGCATATATTCCTAAACATAAACTTCTATATCCATATAATGTTATTTGTATGCATAATTTCAGGGCTGCCCATGAGGCACTGGAATTGGTTTGCTCTTCTCTGGGGAGAACCAAATTTCTGATACCTAGCTTTGCTCAGTCACCTATAGTTCTCTGTGTAGGGTTGAGGCCACTTGAGCTTTTCTCTCATCCACTTTGGAAGGCCTGTTGGTGTCATCCTTGTTCGGCTCACATTTGCGCTATCTCATAAAGGAATGTAGCTGAAAAGTGAAATTTGGACAGGGACCACAACCAGAGAGACGAACTTATAGCTGCAGGGTTCATCAGTCTCAAAAAGGGAGTTTTGACATGAAACAAAAGAATAAAGTGAAATTTCATCCTTCTGGCTTGAAACTTCTCCATCAAAACAGATTCTTAACAAAAGAGAAAAACAGAGAAAGGGAAGGAGGGAGGGAGAAAGGAAGGAAGGACAAAAGAAAAGAAAACCAGAGGTCTACCATAGTTGTTACTTACACAAAGTTGTACTCCAGATCATCCCTGGGCAAAACAATAGAAATATTGTAAAATCTTGATCAGCAACGTATCCTTTAGCACACTCTTTGGTCCGTTTCCTACACGACTGTCTAAGTTTGGGAAGTAAAGCCACAGGATTTTCCTTAGCTTTTGTGAGCATGCCTTCAATGTGGACACCTCATGTAGTAAATAGGAAGGCTCAAACCAGCAGGATAACAGACACAAGACCAGCACACACTTACTCGGGATGCATGGAACCTAACTGAACATCCCCAGCAGGAAGTAAGCACTTTCTTTAAAAATGGAACTGGAGGAGGAGAAGAAACCACTGCAAATAGACAGCAAGGATCAATAAGGATAGTCCTGAGAAATTATGACTTCATATATTCGATGTCCTTAATTATCCTTTAATATTGTTCTCTTTAATAGTCTTTAATATTGTTCTTTAATATCCTCTTAAAACTTTCTATTTCTCCCCCAAACAAAGGCTGTACTTTTTAGCAAACATTACACCGAGGAGTATTTTGGCCTAAGGAGTGGAGTATAAACATATTTCCATTTGTAGAGTCAGTCAGCTCTATACTATACCCCAGTATTATGTAAACTTGAACAATCTGGGAGACCATTCTTCACTGGTTAACTTTACACAGCTGTACTTGTATCCATAAAGATACACACTTCCTGACTTCTGACTTCCTGATGCCAATAGAATGGTCCATGGCTTGCTGTTGTTTAACTGCACTATATTCAAATGAATTATAATT